AGCGATTGGGTGCCTGCCAGTTATGGATAAAGGAAACTTTGCCAATTTTTTAAAAGGGTAACAATCTATGAAAAGTGAATTGTTCAGGGTCCTTTAGAAACCTCAACCCCAGGCAAGCAGCCCTATATCTCTTCAACTGGCCAAAGGCAGTTCCTCCCCTTTCATTAAAAGTCATGTGATTTTTTTCCACATTAGGACAAGAACCGTAATACCATAAAATATCCAAATTGGCACCCCTTATAGCAATTGCTGTACTGTTTGTGCATCCATTCTTTTAAGTTGGAGTTCATGATGTCTCTTGGATGAAGTCTAACAAATTCCCAGTTCAGAGGACTTTCTGTGACTCTAAGCAGTAAAGCAAGGGCACACACCTGAGAAAAATACACACATGCTGCAGTGTCAATGCACATTACAATCCTAGCACAGTGCAGCTCAAAATTGTCATGCTTAACATTTTCCGGGAACTTTGCCAGAGTAGCGGCAATCAGCTTTCCTTCTTTCTTTCTTTTTTCTTGGAAGGGATACTATTCTATTAAGAACTGGATGACAAGCAGAAATTAATTTGGAAAAGTTTTTCCCGACATAATAATACAAACAGTAATACTGCACCACAACTGAAAATGTCCTCTCTCTTATAACCACCCATCCTGCCACATTTGACAAGGAAACTTGGTGGAGGGCTTCTGGTCATAATGTTAGGGTCAAGATGGCTAAATTCCAAGAGCTGCAACCTCAGTGTCCATCGTTCTGTCCTGCAATTGCTCTTTCTTACTTCTGGTGTTCCAGAGGGCGAAGGGAAATATTGCATACACAGAAGCAGCGGGGAGCAGCTTCTGGCCATCCAGTTGTTGTTGGACTGTGATTGCCATGGCCTCTAGCCACTGCAGGGATAATGGGAGCTGCAGTGCAGCAGTATCTGGAAAGCCACAAGTATCTTCCTGCTGGCATAGAGGAAACAAGCAAGATGCAATCATTTATCCAGCCCACCACTGAATTCAATGGAAGTTTCTTCTAAATAGACACATATACAGATATTCCGATAACCCATCGGCTTCAGGGTTAGAAGCTCTTAACTCTCATAACTCTCTACCTTTCTTCCACAGTAGGGGCCTGGCAGCAGTTCAAAAAATTACAAGGCTGATACCAGTGGATGCAAGTATGAACAGAACACAAATATTCAAATTATTTGATAGTGGCTGAGTAAAGAAAGGCTAGGCCACAGGAGTTCCTAAAATATGCATTCTATAGCTCAAATCCATACCCCATAGCCCTTCCAATGCTCTTATTTAGGCTTTCTAAATAATGTCACGGTTAATTAAGGCTATCCAAGACCCAAACTTGTATTATCTAAACAAAATTCTTAATGCTACATCTTTTGCAGCTGTTTAATGTTTTGCAAAACATTTTGTGGATTAACTGTCAAAGTACCCAAGTTATGTTGCTGTGCATTTTGCAAAGTACGTGGTTTTATTTAATCAGGCTCCTCTTACACGTAGCTGTCACTGCACTTCTGGATCAAGCCAGAATTGTAGGAGGACTCAGCTCCCTTGAAATACAAAGTCTTGCAAACAGATGGTGCATGAGAATCCTGCAGAGAGCACAAAACTAGTATCTACTGCTACATTTGAAACATAGTAATTGATATTATTGCTTTAAGCACAATGGAGGATTGTGAGTATAAACAATATGTAAATATTACTGTGGTAACTATATTTATCTTTTATACTTTGAGCTTTTCATAGAAATATCCCAGAATGTGCCTGTTGGATCCCAAGATCTTTGCACCTCACTGTTTATCCATGTCACCAAATGAGCATAGATCATGCATCCACTAAAGCTAATGCCATAACAACAGCAACATTCTAAACAGGGCTACTAAGAGGTCCTATGGGGTTCAATAGAATTTACACATGTGTGTATAAATCTGCTACTTACTAATTCTATAAAAAATCTAATTAGTGCCATTTGTAGTGTATATAGTCATGTACTTCTATACTGAGAAGAATGGGAATGAGGACCTCAAATGCTCAGGGGTACTGTTTACATCACTTAGGTGTTCTGTATTTTGTACATAAGCAACTACAAAGGGAAGATGGTCTTTCTGAAGCATGAGCTGCTTTCATCTTTCAGATCTCGAATCCTTCTTTCAAGGAAGCAGCTTTGCTTGTTTTTTTGCCAATATCCTAGTTTCTGGAAATAATCAAAAGGAGATTAGAAGGAAGCCTGCAGATGTAAACAAAGCATAGCCCATCAATTTCATCAGAATTTTCTTTCACACAATGTGTTTATGATCTGAGGATCGTTACTGCCAATCTCTGATGATTTTTATATTCTCTGTTCTTGGTTTATGTGAACTTTTAATGTATTGCTTTATATAGATAAGTCTTATAATACTAGGATAATTAATTGGTCAAAGGTTTGGGACCAACCAGATAAAAGGCCTCTCAACGTCTATACAAATTAACTTCACTGTCCAAAGATATCTGTATTCACTATGTGAAGATATGATGATAAGCTAGTTTAGATGTCTTTAAAGGAAGACTGAATCAATTAATGATAAGTAGATTAATATGCATTAGTTAATAATATATGGCAGGGTGGGCAATCTCAGGTCCCAACACTCCTCCCTTGGCCCACCCCTTGATTGACTGATTGGTGATTTCCTGGCTTTCGCACATTCTTGTTCTAGTCTGAATTGTTAGAATACCTCTTAGTTATTGGTTGTATGACAAGCAAAAACATGTATTTTCTCTTGTATTTTTTTGGCTCCACCCTTTTTGCTTTTGATTGCCACCCATACTATTGGCACCTATTCCCCAAGTGCTTAAGACTTGACAGAAGGGTGTTGATAGTCCTGAAGATGTTCAGGACATTATGGCCGAGGAAGGCTAGGAGATGGCCAAAGAAGATGACTCACCCAGATCTATTTTCCTATTTTTCCTGCTCTACCAAGAGATAGGAGGAAGGTGTCTGTGCATAAAAAGAATCATCTGAAGTTTGAGGCAGATGGAGGTACACTCTGGAGGACACAGAGAACTGTTTATATTCCATGAAAGCATCTTGAAAGTGTTGGGTGCCAAGGCCTAGTGCTGACTGCTTTCCACCTCCTCACTTCCAGTATTGATGGCAAACTGGGTGCCATCATAATGTTCAGTGCATCTGGTCCCCAAAATAAGACATGAGTCATGTCTATCCACTTTGGTTTTATTAGTGTCATTGCTGCACAGTTTTTGAAACAGCAGTAGCAGAAGCAAACATTCCTTTGAATGTTGGATCACGGCATTTGCTACCAAAGAACATGGCACAGATGGGATTCTTTCTCAAATAATTTAAATGGCAATATGCAGTTTTGCCAGTAACAGGAAGGATGAAAAGGAGGAAATGACTATTATATGCCAGATGCACTAAGCAGAGTTAGCTGCTAAAAATGAGTGTCTTTTTATAGTTGAGGGAACTCTGAAGAATTGCTGATATCAGCCTAACAGACATTACTTCAATACACAGGAAGAATAGTGAATATATGGCAGTCTGGTAGCTCTGAGACCTAGGGGTGATGCAGAATCTCCATATGGTTTTCAGAACTGGTTGGCCAATCATTCAGTTGGATTTACTTAGGTTGGATGGTGCAACTCATGGCTCTTCAAAGGCTTTGACCTACAACACTTAGCCAAAGCTGCTGGAGGGCTCCAAGTTGCCCATTCATGATTTAGGTGGCCTTGGACCAAGACACCAAAGGAATCCATGGATGATCTGTCAAAGTCAATTTAGGCCCCATGGATTAGGCTGTAAGTGGAGGTGGGGCAGAGGGAAGACTTGCTTGTGAACATGATTGTGGTCATTCTCCTTCCATCTGGAGACACAAAGGGCTGCTCTTCTCTCACCTAGCTAGCCTTTTGGAAACATTCACTGGATCCAACGGATTGAAGGTCAAAGGAACCCATCAGGTGAGGCAGGCAAACCAGAGCAGGCAAAAGCTGTTCTTGCCTTGCTCACCATTTCTGGACAGCACAGTGGGAAAGGTTAGGCCCAAGCAGTTGCCTTGATAGAAACTTTGAACAGCCAGGACTTGCATGTTTTCCTGTCAGCCATCCTAGAAGTGCAGATTAGAGGAGGGTTGGGCTACCAGGTTGGGGCTCTTCTCCCCACTTTTACCACTTTTGCAGCACAGGAAAAAAGCAGAAGAGATTGCTATCTACTGATTCTTCAACAGAGAAAACTAGATGGTAAAGCTGGAAGGGTCCAGTAAGGCCAGTGGGTCCAAACTCCCTGCTGAGTGCAAGACTGCATCCAACTGATTAAGAGTTTGGAAACCCAAGCAGTGCAGTACACGAGCAAGAGCAGGCAATGATCCCCATCCATCATCACCAGAGCAGTTGCGTAATTTAGACTTCCGACTTGGGAGCCCGCTCTTTAGAGTACAACTTGCTTCAAGGTGCGGGAAACCAGCTCTACCAAGCAGGGTCCACAACCTGGAAGGTCCTGGAACCTCACGCCACAGCACCTCCCTCTGCTAAGCAGCCCCAGTTGCCTGCCCCAAAGCCTTCCTTACATGCTGTTCACCAGCAACAGGGGTGGACTGGTAGCTGCCCCTGCTCCAAAGATCGCATTTTTAACAAGCGTGCCTAAGGTAGCGTGTACTTTGTCCCTAACTCGGGAAGGCGACAGGCGGCTGGGGCAAATAAAGCATTTCCCTTTTCCACAACAGCAACCCATAAGGGCGCAGCCCAAGAACAGGCTGACTCCTCTTCTTTGTCGCCGTTCTTCTTCTTGTTCCTCCCCGTTGTGTTTACATTTGCGCGCTTAGCTTGGTCCTTCCTGGTCTGGAGTGGAGCCCCACCCCTCGCGGCTGCACAGGCTCCCCGCTACCCTCGCCTGAACGAAGGTGCTGCTTGCGGAGGGAGGGAGCAGCCGAGCACGGCAGCAGCTGGTGCAGCGGCGGCGCCTGCTCCCACGGAGAGCGCGAGGGGGGCAGCCCCGAGCTCGCAGGAGAGCGCTGCGGGGAGCGAGCCAGGAGGAGCGCGTCGTGGCTGGCCAGCCGCCCCGGGACACGCGATCCCGCCTCCTGCCGCAGCACCTTGGAGCGGCGAATATCTCGAGCGGGGTGGCCGGGTGGAGCGACGGCTACCCGCCCTTCTTGATTTCGGTTTGATTGCGCCAGCCCAGCGCAGGCCACGCTCGCCGCGGTGCCAGAGGCGGCAGCGAAGAAGCCTCTGAAGAGCGCCCGCGGGTCTCGTTGTCTTTCTTGGCGAGCGCGGCCGTCGATCTCGACTCAGCTTTGGTGCCGATCGGGGGTAATCTCCGTGGAAGCGCAGAGCCCTGACCTCGCAGGCTCCAGGCGCCACCTCTTCTCTCCGCCCTCCCCACGCTCGAAATTGGCTTCCTTGTGTGGGTGGGGGGTCTCCTCTGCCTCCACCCCCGCCCTTCCGATCGCCTCTGCCAGCTGGTGGATGCTGACAGACCCTCGGCGGCTAGAAGCCAAAGAGAGCGAGCGAGCGAGCGAGGACCCCCTCAGGTGCGTGACGGTGACCTTCTTTTCTGATCTTCCATCTCAATCTCTCCGATCAGCGCTCTCTGGTGGGAACTGCCGAAAAACAGGGCGAGAGGGTGGTGTGCCTAGCGCTTGACGCGTGTTGTTATGACAAGTCTGGCTAGCGTCTGTGTCTGGCGGCGTGGCACACGCGGCGCGGCGCGCCACGCGGGTTTCGCGAGTCGTGGGTGCGCAGCGCGCGCCCTGTGTGGCACTGTGGTGGGACGGGGAGGGCGGTGAAGGGGTGAGCGTGTGCGTACTGGGACGACTGGAGGGATCGCAGGCAGAGGGAAGAAAAAACAGGCGGACTTGGCCTTTCCTTTTTGGCCTAACCAGCTAACAGGTGACTATCTTGGAGAGGGGTGGCTAGCGCTCACGCTGCGGCTCAGGGGCGAGGAGTGCGTCCCGTCCCCGATCTTCCATACATCAGCTACATCTCCTCCCTCGCCCTCTTGGCTGGCATCAGATAAATCACACTGGCAGGGACAGTGCTAGGCAATGCCTCATTTGTGACCTTGGACAGGTATTGACCGACACCTGGTCGTGGTGATGAAGGGCTTTCCTGGAGGCCCCCTGCATGGGTTTGTGTTGCCAGGAACTGAATGGGAGAAAACGGGGGTTTTTTTGCTAGACAAAAGTGTGACGGAGGAAGAGGCCCCGGTCTCTTGGCAGCCCGTGGTTATAACAAGCCAGTAAATGGAGGGGTGGGTAGGATGCAAATTGCCTGGCTGGCCTTTCTTGCACTTTCTCCTGAATAAAATGCCACAATTGTAAGATAATAATAGTTAGAAGAGACCGTGGTTGTTGTATTAGCCCCAGAGGGTGAGAAAATCAACATATTCACCCCCGAAGTTGTTTCATGAAATGAGCAGTTCGCTTATTCCTCTGCAAGCCATGTTGGCCCAACAGAACAGGGGTGGGGAATAGCAAGGAGGCTATTCTTTGTGTGTTACTAGAAGCTTGTGATCTGCTAAAAGCCTGAAGCTGGAATTAGGTGCAAAAGCCGTAGGGTTAGAGTGAAAGAAATCAGAGCCCAGGTTTTTTTTTTTTTTTTTGGTGAGCGTCAGAACTGAATGGAACCTTTTTATTTCAGCAAGATCACGATTGTTGTTTTTATTGTTAAACTGCAAGCTGGGGATCCTTCCCAATCTACTGCTAGTCTTCCAGAGATCTGTTAGTGGATCCCAATCTATCTTCTCTCCATGCCTGCAAGGGAAGGTAGAATTTTGTCTATCCTTACATAATCGACTAACAGAGAACAAAGTTCACCCTCTTACCCCATTCCACACATTTGCCAGATCTTCAGGTCTGGAATTTTGGTTGTGTTAGACATTTAGGAATATAGTGTTTAAATTATCTGGCTTTGAAGCTGAACCTCTCCCCCACAATCACACACACACCAGATACAGTATGTGAAAAGATGCCCAAGTGGCACATAAATTTCAGGGATAGATGTAACAGCTCAGATACTTGTGTCACAGGTAGTAAAAAATCCTTTCTTGTGTTTCATTTCTCAGGATATGCTTATCATAACTGCTGGTAATTGTGCTATGATTGTTGCCAGCCATTGCTTGTTACTACTGGAGGCCAGATCAGCCGTGCAAGTCTGTTTATGAAACGATTCTCTATGCAGCTCATGTCCACATGGATCATGTAGTAGCTTTTCTGGGCCTTTGTACTACTTCCTTGACTCAAAATGTAATGTTGCTGGATCTGCTATGGTCTATGAGGAGCACTTTTAAGTTAAGTTGAAACTTAATAGGGCTTACACTAAGGAAACTGGTTATAAGATTGTAGCCTTGACTAGCAATTTTTACACACATACATAGCAATCACCTTAACAATCCTTAGCAATCATTGTGTAAAAATGATTGTATATATGTAAAAAATGTATATGTGATTGCTATGTATATGTGATTTTACATATTGTGTATGGGTAAAAAATGTATATGTGATCGCTATGTATATGTGTAAAATAATTGAAAATAACTGAGCAATCATTGAAAATGACTAGAAAGTATCAACCAGAGACTGGAAACAGTTTTATTCTAAATCTAGTGAGTCTCTTTAGTTTAATAGGTTGATTTTTTTTAACATTTCTGTTTAAGAATTATTTTGCTTTTTGCAAGATGACTTTTGCGTCTTTTGCAAGTGCAGGAATTAATTTTTTAAATACATATTTACATTAACAACACTTCAATTTTGATCACCCACTCATATGAAATATTTCAGAATTCAAAAGGCAAAAAATTAAAATATGGATGTGTTCCAGCTTTTTTGATGTGACGTAAAAGTATACGTTATTTGAAGAAAAAAATCAGGCTTCTACCTAGAAGCCTGCAAATGCATGACACACAATGGCATTATTTGCATATATAGTAAGCCACTCTGTGAAGAAGGATGGTTCATTGTTCTAGAACAATCTACACCATGCCTGACAAATGATCTAGGTCCTTGTGAGATTTCCCCCCCTTCCCCCTTTATCGCCTCCCTCCTTTCAGCTGGAATCCCAGTTTTCATTGCAACAGCACCCAGCTTGTCCTCCCCTCCACACTCACTTGGCTACTCCTTTTTGGTTGCTGTCATTTATTTGTTTTCTTCCGTTTAAATTTTCAGAGCCTCAAAATGTGCAGTTTGTGGCTTGGTTAAAAAAAAAAAAAGACCTAGGAAATTCTGCAGGTGTGTTCCGCATATGTAGTCTTGCCTAGCAGCACCCTTGTTTCAACTATCAAAAGAAGCAGCAGAATGTAGTTGGTAACACATCAACAATCGGCTAATCTGAGCATGGTTGGTGAACTATCAATTAAAACTTACCAGTAAAGGGAAAAGTAAACACACTGGCAACAAGATCTCGCCTTTAGCATCGTAATCTCTTGAGTTCAGGTGTTAAACTGACAGATCTGCATGCTCGCCACATCGTCCATGGCTCCCTTTTTGACACCCCCTTTTTGGCGACCCGCTTCTACCACTTTTTTCTCCTTTACAGTGATTCTGAACTGAAAGTTTGGCAAATGAAGTCAAAGTAGCCTATGTGTAGTATCACTTTGTCAATTTCCATCTGTGTCACCGCTGGCACTTCACTCTCTTTGATAGCTGATACTTACAAGGACATTGACCAGGCAAGACAACATATATACCCACAGTTAGAGATATCCCACTATAACTGTGTGTTCTTTTGCACTTTGAAAGAACGGTTAAGAAGGTATTTGTGCACATTTTCATTGCTGCTGAAAAAAGATGACAACCACTGATGGTCCTTCCAAAATACCATTTGGCATTAGTAGAGGAGCTGTCACTCATCACAGCTCCACTGAAATCGCAGAATGGCAAGGAACTTCTGTTGCTGTTCCTGAGTAGCTTGCTAACTGTTCCCCACAACCCATGATAGATTGTTCTGGGTTTGGATGAGCAGCAACCCACTGTGGGTTGAACAACTCCTAGGTAAAACCATGGGTTGTCATCATGGCTTGTTACTCCAGAATAAACCATCCAGCAGGAAGTGTTCTAGGCGACAGCCCACTGTGGCTAGTTAGCCATAAGTCTTGTCAGGACCTCTTTCATGATTACAAGCCAGACCTAAGCATATATTTAAAATGCATCACTACAAGATTATAAATATCTGTGATTGTCCAGACTGCTTCAGCTGCAGAGTGGTATAGAACCAAATGAATAAAAATAGATAGCTCAAAATTCAATTGAAAAATACAATTCCATCTCAAAACCACAATTTCAGAACAAAGGTTATGAAACTATCACATAACAAGTAAGCTGTAAAGTGTATAATTGAAATAAGTGCACTTTTTGCCCCTGCGTACCCGTGGACGCTTCTACCTTCCTCTTGTCTTTTCCATTTCACTGGCATTTATTTATTTATTTATTTATTTATTTATTTATTTATTTATTTCTAGAGCTGCCGATAACTGAAGCTTTCTGAGGCATTTCAAGAATAAAATAATAGAAATAAGTTCATGGAACAGACAATGCCATAAAGCACCTAGACTTGTGTGAAAATGCATGACTTCAAAAACAAATGTAAAATATCTGAATCAACGTATCAGGGATAGCTGGACTTGCTCAACAGAATACCCACGTAGAAGAAATGTCAGATGTTTGGGAGCCACAAGTGGGCACCTGCAAGCAGCCAGTGGGTGCCTGCAGACAGCAAGCAGTGACGTGCAAAATAAACTCAGATAACCTCACGCAGCCCCCAGGTTTTGGTTTGACTACGCCTGCAGTACATGATAGAGGGTACACCTGGGATGGGTAGTCTGTTCAAGCCCTTAATCATCCTTGACTGCTTTTGAATGTTGCAGCTTAGAGGGCCGTCTTAACATGGTGCTGAAAGGATAAAAAGGTCAGCACTAGACATGCCTCCGTCAGCAGATCATTTCATAGTTGGTAGGACCCCACCAAGAAGAATTCTGCTTTGTTGCTGCCTCTTGGAGTTGGCACTTGGAGGGAGACCTCAAATATGGAATGTGCTCCCTGGAGAGGTTCTCCTGGCACCATCATTATATGCTTTTTCGTGCCAGGTTAAGACCTTTCTATTTACCCTATATATTAATGTTTAATAGGTCTTAATTATTTTTATTTCTGTCGTGGGTTATTTAGCTTTATTATTGTTGGAGTATTTATGATAAGATGATGATATTTGTATTTTTACTGATGTATTTATTGATTTTGTTGTGAGCTGTTCAGAGACTCAGAGTGATTGGACAGCCTAGAAATATCCCAAATAAATAAATAAATATTGACCATAGGGTCTGGGTAGATGCAGTTCGGAGAGATGCTACATCAGGTATTTTACATGCTACATCAGCAAGCCTCATAGGGTAGGAGAATCTGTCATACTTGTTCTTCAGAAATGCCATGTCCGTTGTTGGCGTAGTAGTTATAGCAGTGATGATAACAGGATAATCAATTTTGTGGCAAATTCCCAATAATGTAAGTAGTTCTAACTCAGCAGCCACTAAAATAAATCTCTC